AAGGTTTTAAATCGAAATAATTAAATATATGTTTTTAAATTAAATGTTCAAAATAAATTTTGCAAGATCTCTTCCAAGGAACAAGGGGGCACACCGATTCTACTTGCTCCAAGGTGCTAAATATGTAGCTATGCCACTGACTAGTAGTTCATAATCAACTGGTTGAGCAGTCCTAATATATACAAGGATCCTATTCAAATGTTTGTTTTAAATTCAATGACTTTTCCTGACCAACTCTGCACAAATTTCTTGCATCTCACATCCCTTACAGTATGGCTTATTGACAAAATAAAACAGCATTTGACTTACTACACACATATGCTAATTGTTTCTCCAACTTTTTAATTAGTTATTTTTTTAATTAACAGTTACATAATTTTTTATAATTGCTGAGTCATTAAAATTAAAAATAAAACGTTTTATTAAATAAAAGTAATTTATCTTGTTATTAATTCACAATTGTAAATGTTGATTTGAAAAAAACGAAAAAAGCCATTCATTTATTTATTATTCATTAACAAATCCCATAGAATCCATTTACAAAACTATAAATTTATCAAAATTGTCCCTTAATAAATTTCCTAAACTTAATAAAATATCAATAAACTTCAAGGGAAAAAAATAGCAAAAATTGTTTTGTTACACAATCATACCACCATTTAAATTAAATTATTTTTCATCATTTTTTGTATTTTGTTAAAATCATTTTTATCAGTTCATTATAACCTGTCCTCAAATTGTCTGTGTGTAAATGGTAATTGCGAGAGATTCGGAAAGAGTTAAATTATTAAGAGTATTACAGATTTTCCTCTCAGATCCTGCTGATGAAACATCTCTTCCAGGAATTCACTCAATGCCTTCATGCAACAACAGCATAGAGCATCCCTATGAACATATTGATGCCATTTGTTGATCTCTGCATACTAGGATCAAAAAACATGAAGACTCAATCAGGAAATGCATAACTACACCTTTGCCTCTGACCAGGATGTTGACATCTTTTTTGACAGGACATGTATAATACCTTGTGCATCAACTCCATCTCAATTTAAATCAAATTTTTGGGAGTACTCAAATCTATAAGTCACTTTATAAACAGTAGAGTCATGGCACCATGAGTGGAAGGCATTGTTCGAAGTTACTAGTTTATTTTTGTTATTATTACACTTATATTGATTTTGCACTTCCTTTATTATATATTTACTGATTATGAAGTGAATTTTTATTTATATTCATTTTTACACAATATTTTTATTTAATGCCATTTTCTTTAGATATTTTATCAATTTTTATGTATTTATTTTTAAGTTTATGTTTAATATTAACCAATTTGCTTATTCAACCTATGTGCATGCAATATATATTACAATTCAAATCATTTGATTGATTGTATTTTTAAAGTTGGTTTCTGTTCTATCTTAAGAACCTAAATATTACTAAAAACATTAGTTCAATTATTAAATTATTTTTGTTACTTGAGTTAATTATAATAGAAATTAAAAATTAGGAATAAAACCAAAATCCATGTGCCATTATTTAAATGGCAGATGACCTGGAAGATTAATTGCAGGATCAAGACAATCCAGAACAAGATGAAGAACTAAGTAGCATTAAAGATTGTCAACACATAAAAAGAAGAAAATGACTATTAACATACTGTCTGACAAACAAAAGTAAAATACCAATAATAATAAAACAGGAATGCTATTGAGAAACATTATGTGACCACATTCAACAGACAAGCTGAAATGCTTGATAAAGACCTGACAAACAGGATATCTAACACAGCAGACAAAATCAAAGAATGTCTATGCCTCCAAGTAACCACAGGAAGTACAACAAGCTGAAAAACAAGTCATACAATGTACTGTAACTTCCTCTTAAACTAGAAGTTTGGGCAACCCATCTTAGTTAATGTTCTTATCATTTATGGACAGCATTGTTATTGAGGATGTGAGGCAATGCAATCAGGAAACAAAAGCTTTTATGTTATTGGTCATACAGAAATGTAAGATGAAATTCAAAAATTATTGCAGAGGTCATATGAAAATATTTCACACACAGTAAAAACACTGGCCTTGAAGTTTGTGCAATACTGACAACAGTGGCCATCTTGTCAATTCCTATAATTTCCTACCAGCATAATCTGCTTTGCATTATGGCAAATGAATGCACTGTCATCCAATAGGTCCAAACATCTGTCTTTTGTACTGCCTTATATGAAAAAGTCAATGCTCTCTTGAAATCAGGGGAAAGATTGCCAAAAAACATTTAGCTGATATCTCAATAAGAGAAACTGGAAGAAACTCTCCATTCCTAAATTCTCAGTCTGGTACTTCCTTAAGCATTACAATTCCACTGAATCCATTATTCCAAAGAGAAGACATGGAAGATGAAAGACTACACACTTAGACTATTTGTCTTCACTGAAATGCACAAACCAGGAACATCTCTCAGGCCTATAGTGGACAGAGCTAGTGCTCCCACACACCTAGTTGAAAGAACTATCCATAAAATATTAGCAAAACATCTAAAAGGGAATAATTCTATCATAATGGATCCAGATAAATTAGCTGAACTTCTACAGGACACACACTTAGTAAATGAAAAATATATAGCTACAACTTAATAACTACATCAAAACTGGAAAAATGTAAATATTAATCACCTCAGTAACCTTAGTTTTATTCCAGTATTATCTTAAAAATAACAAATGTTTTCGAATAGCTTGACTGTCCTGCTTCAGGTCAGTCAAGTAAATTTAAATTTTGTATTTTCAATTTGAATGTATAATGTGACAGAACAAACATTCTAAATGGAACACACATAACTGACCTGAAGAAGACAATCAAGCTGTTCAAAAATGTTTGTTATTTTTAAGATAATACTGGAATAAAACTAAGGTTACTGAGGTGATTAATACATAAATACATTTGCTTCATCTCTCGACAGACCTGCTTTTGTGCATCAAAAGAACTTTTTATTTAAAGCTACGCAAACAGCTGCCCATTATCACAAATATATACCTGAACTTGCACATACACAATGCTCCACTTCTTACTATAGATATACAAAACACAGGAGTCCTGATGGGCAGTCCACTTTCAGAGACCTCCGTAAAACAGTAGTATAAAATCTATGGAATTCCTCCAACACATTGTTCTTTACAAGATATAAAGGGTGCATAGGAAAGTCCCTTTAACCAGAAAATTCTTGCGAATGGAGAGAGTTACAGCTATGCAAGTGAGGTAATGGTATAGTAAAGCGACTATGCCCAACCTAATGCAAATGATGGTAGTGCCCCTAGTGGTGAAATTTAGAAGATAGGCAGTGCAAATCGAAAATGAAAACAGATAGAGCAAACTTTCCAATTAGAAAGTTTTAGAGCATCAATTAATTAGTATGAAACGACGTGGTTCACACGGATAAGATAAATTGTCGCCTAAATGTCCAAAAGCGATATACGCCATTTTGTGTAAACGTTTGAAAGGAATAGCTATAGGTATGAAGAAATATGCACAATTTATTGCATAAAATACGTACTTACATCAATACAGTTTGATAACATCATACAAAAAACAACGGAAAGGCAAACTGTCACACAGTGATAACAAGTTAATGTCGAGTATGTTCGAAAAGTTTGCCATTGCTCATGATACACGCCATTGTTATCAAACTGTATTGATGTAAGTACTTATTTTATGCAATAAATTGTGCATATTTCTTCATACTTATGGCTATTCCTTTCAGACCATTACACAAAAAATCTTGCATTGCTTTCAGACATTTTTGGGTGTTGAATGAAAACCTATTTTCATTTGGAAATCATTATACATTTCTACATTAGAACAGTGTAACAACCGTACATTAGATATCCCAGCATATGGATCATGCTATTTCAGCTTTTAAATGATTAGCTCAATGCCTTGCACCAAATATTTATATTTTTAATTGTTATTTTTTATTTTTGTTCATAGGTCTCATTCTTATTTCACTTTTATTCCCAATTTTTCTTAATTTATATTATTGGTTATTTTTATCATTCTTTTATCTGCTTTTAAAATCATTATAATTTCAATATCTTTCATTTGTATTTCTGTTAAAATTTTTATATTTGCAATTTTACTATATTACTTTAAAATGTTTAATTTCTTTCTTAGACTTGAAAATATTTTGTTGTAATTATTAAATGTTCTTAAAATTGTATAATTTTTTTGTAGATGCACCTAAAAACAAAGACACTGTAAACTTATACAAATTATATGACATGTTGTTTCGCCAATAAAAAATTTCACATGTGAATTATGTGCCACAAAGAATTCCAGACAAAAAATTATAGTAATTTTCAGTCTTATACAAAAAGAAACCAACAAAATTAATTGTAACTGCTTTACAGTTCATTAAAAATCATTGTAAAATCAACAAAAAGAATAAATTTATTAATAGAAATATAAAACATCAAGTGGAAACAAAAACTAACTTGATGTTCTGAAGATATGCTAGANAATAGCATATCGTTACATTTAACCTTTCCAATATGACTTTTTAAACATTCAAAGAGATTGATCAATATTAGAGAAATATCTGATCGAAATTATCCGAAAAAAATGAACATATATGAACTGAAAATGAAATAATAATTCCTGAGAGCAATGTAAACGTGTTTTAAGTAATATTTTATGCTTTTACTAGGGGCTTTACCTAACTCTCTTCGCTCGCTCGCCCACGGTCTTCGTCCCTTATTCCCAATATAGATTATTCGCTACAAAATTTCATGACGATTTATCGATTCCCGGCGACGCCTTTTCTACATTTTTTGTGAAAGAAAAGTGTTGCGGCGACAATTTATTTCAACTTTATATATATATGTACACATTTAAAAACTGAAAAATGTAAAAAAATATTAAAATACGCAAGAACGAAAGAGAGAGAGAGAGAAAGAAAAAAAATTAGAATTTATTAATAGAAATATAAAACATCAAGTGGAAACAAAAACTAACTTGATGTTCTGAAGATATGCTAGATTTTCCACTGCTTCCACTTTCTACTTGAGGACCATTAACCATCCGCCATTCTGAAGCCTGTTTGGAATTGTCACGAATTGACTCCAACTGACACTCTAAATCCAGAAAATGAAATTCAGTTGAGAGCTGACAAACAGCAGCAAAATCTAATAAAGAAAACACATTAAATAATTAAATAAGTCAATGTATTCACAAAATCATCAATTTTATTAATTATTGAAAATAAATAATGCACATCACTAGTTCCTCTTTAGAAGTTGGGTAGTTGTTGTTTCACGATTTCCCACAAATTTTCATTGGGGTATAAGTCTGGGGTATTGCTTGGCTAAGACAGGATTGCAATCTGTCGTTCTTGTAACCAACATATCATTGACTTTTCAGTATGAGAGGATGCCCTGTCTTGTTGAAATAGAAATGTTTCCTCAACTAAATCCTCTGCCAATGGTATCATAAATGTCTCTAAGAAGTCTTGATATGTCTGTGCATTGACACATTCCCGAAGAATGCACAGTTGTCCTATGCCATTAGCACTCATACACCCCCAGATCACAATGGACAATGCACATTTCACGGATCTCTTCATACAGTCCTTTTCAAAGGTCTCTTTGGTTGTTCTCCATATATGTGGGCCTTGGTCACAAGAGAGACAAAACAGAAATTCTTCAATGAAGAGAACATTATTCCAGTTGTCTTGTCCCCACATGAACCTCTCTCTGCACCTTCTGACATGCACTTGTCATTGCTTTTTTGTTAGAGATTGGCTTCCTCTTGGGAACATAGCAGTTGAAGTACAAGTTGTGCAACGTTCAGCATGTTGTTTGGCTACTAACATTCACTCCAGTTGCTCTCCATTGTGTGTGCAAATATTTTAAAGTGGTTTCGCATGACAATCCTTCACAAGTTTCTCATTCATGTCTGTTTCCACCATATATATATATACATATATGGTGGAAACATACAAGCAATTAAAGATTTGTTACAGGAACACATTAAAAGTAAATTATAATAAAGACAACAAATACATAGAATTTGCAAGTTTTATTTTTTAATTTGTTTGTTACATCAAGCTGCATTCCACAACAGAGTTAACCTGACAATGGCCATATTTAAGATGGTAGAAAATGTTTGTTTTGCCATTGAAGTACCATTTATTTGTTGGATTTTGGTGTTCTGGTGTATTCTCTAAGATGTCATCAAAATTAGCAAATGACATGTTTGTACTCTCTGGTACAGAGATGTTGGCACTTTGAAAGTTTTAAGCAGTTCAAGAGATCTATTTTCATAATACATCATACTTATCAGCAATAAAATAACTATGTATTTACCAAAAAACCAGCAAAAATTCACTTCAAATGAAAGTTTTCCACCGTCTTCAATGGTCATCTTCAGGTTCAAATTCCAAGAGTTTGAAAAATTGAAAATCGAAGTTATGCGCATGCCCAATGCAGAGCCTTAATAAAATTATTTGTGAAACTGGTTTCCTGCTTTTAAAGAATTCCGATGTTTATATAAAACATGTAAACTTATATGACACGCATCTATTATACGTCATAATATGCCCTCCATGTCGTTGCCAATGAGTCCATTTCCTTGAAATTGATGGCTGTTCCCTTCCTGAACTCTTTAAAAATCTGCAGCTGTTCTAGATATTTGAGGCTGGTCTGGTGTTCACACTTTTGTATTAAACGTGCATTATCAAAGTCCACCCTGACGTCATCATCAAGCATGAAAGAAGCCAATGCCGTAGTGGAAAGGCATTTTTGAATTGAGTATTTGTGCTCCTTGATCTTTGTTTTAAGGCAGCGTGCAGTAGCACCAATATATTCACCCTATGATCATAAATAGGGATAGAATATATTCCCGGAATACAATTCTGATCAAATCAGTCCTTATAGTTTCGTAAACATGAAAAAATGGTCAACGATCTTCTGTAAGCGATAGTTTTACTCGCATAATGGGCTATTTGTTTGTAGGTGCTAGGAAGGATCCTGTTGCAAGTAATAGGAACATAGGACAGGTTTTCCTGAAGTGCCACATTCCTAGGTTGTTGGCAGTGCGCTATAAGTTTGTTAATTAGGCACTTAGTGTAACCATGCAGTCTAGCCACATTCAAAATAGATTCCAGCTCCATTTTCCTATCCTCTGCGCTTGAACAATAGGTGAAAGCCCTTCTTATTAGGGTCTTAAAAGCAGAGACCTTGTAACCAGAAGGATCATGTGATTTGGCATGTATAAAAAACGGAGCATACAAGTTCTTACGGAATACATTAGTTGTTAAACAACCCTGTTGTAAGCTAATGTCAATATTGAGAAAATGCATGCTGGTGGAGCTTTGCTGTTCAGCTTTCAACGAGAGGCCATAAGCATTATTATTGAAAATATCAATGAATGCCGCCAAGTACGGTTTCTTCTTCCGAACAATGAACACATCATTAACGTATCTAGCGTACAATATAATGTCCTCGTTAAAGCTAGGTAAGATGTGTTGCTCAAGGTGCCTGACCACCAATTCACATAAGGTTCCTGATATGGGACTACCCATAGGCACTCCTCTAGACTGCAGGAAAGTATCTCCCTCAAATACGAAAAAAGATGAGTAACACATAAGATGTGCCAACTCCAAGATGTCAGAAAGATGCTCAGAAGAGGTGTAAGGAACCAAGTCCGAACGTTATTTTTATTTACTTTTATTTTGCTTATTATTCTATTTTTTGTTTGGGGCTTATGTTTTGTTAGGACGAAGGTTTCCTCACCATTCACCTTAGTAACTTAAAAATAGAAGAAAAACCAACTCACCGACGAAAGAAAAGCGCCGTAGAAAAACTCGCGCACACTTGCGCTTCCCGAGCGGAAAAAAGTAAGTCCGCACCGAGAAAAAGGGGGGGGAAGACCCCACAACCCAGTTAGGAATCGCTAAACCTTAAAAGAATAAAGCATCCCGATAATTGTTAAAAAGAATAATGTAAAAGGTTAGCGAAGTATTGTCGGAAAATAATCTGCCAGATAAACAAGAAAAATTTAATGTTACAGATAAGTATGTAAATGAGGAGAGTGAGCTCATTCAGAATTGTGACGTCACCTCACACTATAAAGCCTCTAACTCAAGTGAAAACGAACGAGGTGAATTCCTGATAGCAACGAGCTTTGGTGAGCTTCGTAGCAGTGAACGAGAGAGGTGTCCGATAGGATTTTGAAGTTATTCGATTTGTGGATCGACGATTATAGAAAGTCTTGAGAGTTTGAGGAAATAGGTTCCTAGTATATTGAGGTGACGATTAGGATCTTTAATTTATAAGAATTATTGTTTATAAGTTAATTCTTTGATTTTGTCGAATTCCAAAGGGGAATAGAATTAAGTTAGAAATAGATTGATTTGAGTTTGTCGGATTGATTCTTGTTGAATTTCATTGAATAAATTATTGTTTGATTTTTACTAAATACTGTATATAGTTTATTACTAGAAGTTTAATTAAATATTTGATTTTGTTATTGACAAACTTTGTCATTATTTAATTCGGTGCACGCTTAAAGTCCAGGCCTGGCACACTAACTCGAATCCGCATAAAGTACCCGTTAGGGAACGGCTATTTCCGGCACGCAGTAGTGTCGATAATCGTTGGAAAAGTCGGAAAAATAATATAGTACTTTACAGAGTCATTAATGTTTCGAATGAGGAAATCCCTTAACTCACAAAAACATGGCTCAATGCAGATGGAAGGGAACATGAATTCAAAATCACAAACAGTGAAGTATATGCCATCAAAGCTGTCAAGTGCATTCAATCTGTCTATCAACTGTACCAAATTAGACACAGTATACAGATACTCCTCGATGGTGCTGGTTACAAAAGAGTTAAGCATACGTTCCATAAGAATAGTCGGAGATCTCGACTTGTTGATGACCAGACATAGTTGTTTTACCGGCTTTATGGAGTTTGACGAAAGCAAGTAAGTGTGGTGAAATCGGCGTTGAGAAAGTTGTCTTAGTTACCTTTAGTATTCTAGCCAATGGGGAATTAGTCATACGTGCAACCCTTGCTTGCATCCTTTCCAAAAATCCGCTGGGAGCCTTAGTGCATTCAGTGTTGTGGATATATTCATGCAAGCCGTTTCTATACGTATCCCTTTTCACAAGAACAATGCTCCTGGATTTGTCCACCCTTACGGCGACTACATCGTTATGACTCAGCCATCGTCTAGAATTATGTATGGCATTCCAATATGATCATTCATCCTGTGCCTTGACCCTGTGGTTACAGATCGTCAAGAAAGCTCTCCATCGGAAATATTCCTTATGCGTATTGCCAAGATCTTCAACCATCCTCTCAACATCCGGTATAACATTAGTTAACTCCACCGGAAGAGAAGGAGCAAATGTAGGGCCCAAGCTGACTAAGTTAACCAGTATGGGCAGAGGTTGTATGCCATCCCAACATACAAGAGAATGATGTATTTGGTTTTCTTTCTGGCATTGGAATGTCGACAGCCATTCTGTTTTCTTATGATGTTGCTTGTGGAGTCTCCTAGTAATAGAATCTGCTAACGGGACGACGCTTGCATTAATTCTGGTCAGGATGTCAGAGTCCCGTTCATAAAAATAATTTTCCAATCGGATAACACTGCCCACTAACAAATATCTTCTTCTCCTAGCATATCTTATCGCTTTCTTCAAACACAAGTGCCTAATTACCAGTAGTAACGTAGAACAATCAGGAGGCAAACATATTCTATAAATCAATGCAGGAAACAATCCCAGCAAACAGCAATTAACTAAAAAGTCTAACTTGGAAGAAGTCCTGCATAACTTCACAACAGTCTTTCTATAGTATTTGGCCAGCGTAGCCAGCGTATACCAAAATAATCTTTCATCAATGTAGTTATTTTATTAATTTTCACACCAGTAGTGTTGGTATGATGGATGATTATTTTGGTATGGCTACGCTGGCCAAATACTATAGAAAGACTGTTGTGAAGTTATGCAGGACTTCTTCCAAGTTAGGCTTTTTAGTTAATTGCCGTTCGCTGGGATTGTTCCCTGCTTTGATTTATAGAATACGTTTGCCTCCTGATTGTTCTACGTTCTACTGGTAGTTAGGCACTTGTGTTCAAATTTTTGCTGGCTTTTCAGTAAATACATAGTTATTTTATTAATTTTCACATCAGTAGTGTTGGTATGACAGATGATTATTTTAGTGTTGGTACTTAGTATTTAGTTGGTATTTAGTAGTGTTGGTACACTTGTCCATGCTACTGTACATTTTTACAGCCCAACAAAGATATGTGAAACAAGCTATATATTATTGTTTTTAATTAAAAAGATATCAATTATAAATGTTCCATAAATCAGCATTGTTTAAAAATATGAAAATATTTTTGTCCAAAGTTAAAAGAAAATATAATTTTAAGTTAAGAGAGAACTAATCAGCTTATTTTGATGAAGTGATATTAAAACCTTCACTCTTCACTTTACATTAAGTGCTAATTTATTTGAAGCAAAATATAAACTAGCCAAAAACAGTGATTTTGGTTTAAATTTTATACTGTATAATAGAAGTTTTAGTTTTTTAAGTTGATATCATTATATTTAGAGAACAAATTTAAAATTATTCAAACACAAAGTAAATTATAATAAAAACAGCAAATATATAGAATAAAAAAATTTAATATTTACATTAACATATAGTATTATTTTAAAAAACCATCATCATGACAGTTTTAATACATAATAAACATTACATGTAATTTTCTTACCTCTTTTTATTCCTGTATAGCTATTAATTCTATTATCAACTAACAATACTAATCCACATAAATTATTTGAATATAAAGATATTGCCGTCTGTAATCTTTGAGGTTGTGGCACAACGATTCCACTAATAATAAAAAATACATAATGTTACATGAAATTTCTTTGATTTTATTGTAATTTTAATAAAAATTATTAGAATAATGATTTTTACTTTTATAGATTTTTCAATATTTTGCATTAACATTTTTCATTACAACAACTCCATTTACATAAACTAATATCAAACTACATAAATCTGTTTATAATAATTAAAAGATTATTGAATTTTTTTTTATTCAACTAACAATGATTACTAGATTGTACAAATGCACATAACATTCCAATAATAACAATAATATAGTCAAACCTCAATTTACGAACTTAACTTGTTCAGAAACCAATTTGTTTTCAAACAAACAAATTTTTCCACAAGAAACAATGTAAAATGAATCAATCTATTCCCGACCCCCAAAACAAAACCTTTTTTTACCTTTTAGCTGTATTTCATTCATAAAAATGCCTACAACTGCAATATAAGATTATCTATATCCACTTTATATATAATATATATACATATTTTCATTAGAAGCAAAATGTTCTGTCACTGTCAACCAAAACTGAAACCATCACTTTAGAAAAAAAGTGAGAAAGTGTTATAAATAGAGAATAGACTCCACCTGGATGAAATATAACCAATTTAATCAAGACAGACACATACTTGTTTCAATTGATTTGATTTTAATTTTATTTTCAGTTTCAGTGTAAAAACCAGAGTTAAATTATTATTTTTGGTTTTAATTAATTGGCTACCTAGCATTAATAGATATTAAATTAAATATTAATTATTATTATATTAATAAATGTTTGTTATTTAATTTGAGTTAAGCATCTTTAAATATTAATCAGTGGATGCCATTTATATTATGCAAATGTCAATTAATGTGGTTTTTATGAATTAATTTGATTTAAATTGAATTGTGATGTGTACCAAAAACCAGTAGTAGTATCGTCCCTGCATGTGCATTAAAATCTTGATATATTGAATATTATCATTGATGGTTCGTGTTGTGACATCTAATGACGCACGGCAAATATCAATACCGGTAGTCCCATTGTTGATTGATCAGGCTGTCAACTTAATTTAACATAGAAAGTATAGGAGGTTGACTATTGGTGACTGGCTCTGCCATGTAGCTTGTTCGGAAACCAAGTTATCACATGCAAACTGAAGCAAGTATGGCATTTAAAATTTTGTTTGTAAGCAGAGGCATTCATAACCCAAGATTTGACTGTAAGAGAGTCAAAACATCTTTTATGTGGCTTACAGAATTGTGTTCATTCTCAAAATTTCATTCGTGATTTTTATTAAACTTTGCCACTTTCCATTAATTGCAATAAGGAATTCAAAAACTAACAAAAAACAGAGTTCTGTGACTTTGTTTTTGAGATAGAGTGTGGTCAAGTACCAAGTCCATGCTCCCTGATTCAATTGAGCACACCTAACAGAATGTAGGAAGCAAAAGAAAAAAGTACTGCATGCACCTAACAGAAAACAGAACAAAACACAAGAACAGAGCAACTGACACCAATTGCTCTGTTCTTGGATCACCTCCTGTGTCAACAAGTGTAAAAATCTGCTCTATGGAGTAGCAAATGTAAGAATTGTCTCTTCCATGTCTAGCAGGTGCAAGGATCACCTCTTTCATTCAGTCTCCAACTCAATTCTATTGAAATACAACAAAGTCATGAAATGTCCTAGTATTAATATGTATCTATTGTCATATCTTGGAAGAAATCAATGATTTTTCATAATTACATAATTTTATTATTGTAATTTTTTCACATACTTCATTATATTAAATTTACTGTTTTTATTTTTATGTACAGTACCCTAAATGTTATTTTGATCTAAATAGTTTTCAATTATTATGGCATATTGTCATCTAAAAAAATGGTTTTTTTTTTTTTCCTCTCAAGTTTATTAATTCAATGTTCTAATGTAACTCAACAAAATTCTTTTGTTCTGTTTTATCCTCCATCTTTACTACTATTCACCCCATCCTCAATTTTCCATATTAGTTGTAAGTTTAGTTTTAAGGATTAGTTACATAGTGAGATGTCTCACTGTGTAACTAATCCTTAAAACTAAACTTCTAAATGTCTTCTAAAGAAAGCTGTTGAAATAAAAATGGAGATAATACAGACAGATGTCTGTATTACCAGCTCCAAATTTAATTTAAAAAAAATCTCTCTTTTCATCCATGCTATATTGAAATTTTCAAGCTTTTTATCAAGGGAAGCACTGGTATATGTAGATTTTTAGCTGTTCCTTGATGAAAAAATATCTAACATTTACAATCTAAAAAAAAAAAAAAACTAAACCATTTATGTTCTTAATTGGATATGTTTGTCCAATTAAGATCAAATATTTTAAAATGAATTTTTTAAAGTTTTGGCAAAAAAAAAGCCTACAAAGAAAGATCAGTTATTAAAAGGTATTCCAGAATAGTAAAAGTGAATAAAAGGTGACTATTTGATAGACCTAGTCTTTAATTTAAACTTTTAATATTAATGACCATCTGAAAAAGTTTTTTTTAAAAGCTGGAAGTACTTTTTAGTTGCTGTGTAAGCCTGATAATAATCTGTTTAAGACAGATGGAGGTTTTGGGTTCAACTTCTCTTCAGACTGTTCTAAATTATATTAATTAATTAAATTATTATAATTATTAATTTTGTTAAGAGTTGACATTTACGCCTACCTCTAGTAGCAAATTATTTAATTTCTAATTACAGTAGAGCATTGATTATCCAAATCAATTGGGGACTGGGGTTGTTCGAAAAATCGATTTTTTGGATAACCAATTATGTATAAAAAAAATATATTAACCTATCTTGTGTTGAAATTCGCCGAAATCCTGGCACGTCCTTAAGTACCCTCTTGTGGTCGTGCCAGTGCTGCAGCTAAAACATGCACACCAACAAAAATAATATTGGAGTAGCCCAAGACATAGCCAAAGATTGCAGTGCCACAGTACTAGTGTAAATTTAAATTTGCCAACTGGAAAGCTTTCGGTTAATTGACGTTTCGGTTGATTGATATTTGGATAATCGATGCTCTACTGTATTAATTGTAGCATAAAATAGCCTGATTAATTAAAGCTGTTGTTTGGCTTATTACTTAATATGATTGATTAACCAGTTTATTTCAGTTGACTAATATTTTAAAGAATTCATTAGCAGTCTGGATTAATGTTTTAATGCAGTAAAATTTTTCTTGTATAAAATAATGAGAAATAAGCTTCCAGTTGTAATAGCTCTTGCTACTATTACAATTAACAGAAAAACAATACCTTGTTTATTTTAATTTACTAATACTTTTCATTTTAACACAACAATTTATGTGATATCAATTAATGTTAATGTTTTCCTGAAGAATATTTACTCTTTGTGAACAGATTACTTATGTGACAATGCTGAAGGGCCTCCCTATTCTTCGGCACCAATGATCGCTTGTGTGAGATCCGAATAGCCCCTGAATCTAAATGATAATTTAAAATTAAAGTTTAATTTTTGTAGAAAAATATTCTTTTGTTTTGGTGAGAAAATAACGGTTTTCTAACGTGGGAAAACTGATATAACAGCCACTTCCTTTGACGGAAGTATGAGCATCCTTTGTTTTTCCCTTATCTGTTAAAAATCTCGCCACGATGGGAATTGATGACCCCTCATTAATTCCCCTTTTCATCCGTTCACATGAAAGAATCCAAACATGCTGATTGGTTGAAAATGGAGAGATATAGTCATAGTTTGGCAGAGTTCGGGGAGTTCGTCAAGAGATCCCAGATGAGGAAGACGAAATCCATACAAGCTCCAGAAGACCAACGCCCTTAGTCGTATCCTATCGAGTTAATATTGAGTTAGAAACATAGAAGATTTATTTGAATAGTTGTGCCTATCAAGACCTCCCCATGAATAGAAGTGTGAGAACTTTAGAAATGAAATATAATCGACAAATAAAACAAAAAGAGGTCAACTAAAACAGGTTGTATGTTTATTAATGAATTGTGAGCTCTGTCTCTCGACATTGTATAAGTTAAGTGAGTCCGTTACTCTCTTGGCACGTCTAATTGGATTTATTTGTTGTAGTCATTCATTTATCTCTGAATATCTAACCATTTTTTCTTTTGTATAATCTAGTTTGTTTTTGGTTATTAAATTTTCTTTATTTTTGTCAAAGAAATGTCTCGTGTTAACTCTCTGAATCAAATCTACGGCATAATCACACGCGTGTTTATCCGCGTAATGAGAAGTAGATAAACTGGTGTCAATCCTGATGTAGATCCGAATCTCGTAATTTGGATTGGTTACAAAAGCCCTCCCGTTCAAAATCTTGACATAAGATCGGAACAAAAGATCCAAAACTAAGAGAACAGATTTCACTTAATCTGCGCCGAATAAGTGGTACCAACATCTTAACAGATAGATTGTATCCCCGGCTGATCTCACACTTGTGTGAGCGAACAGATTCGGGATGGAGTGAGACAGCACACGGGAAGGGACTCACGCAAAGACTAGGTCAACGAAACAACATTTATTTGTAAAGATATAAAACATTAGATTACAATAAGAGATTGGGATTAACAAGTAACTTAGGGTGAACTTAATCGAATTTTGCAGTATTAGGAGAGAGAGTTTACAGTGGTTCGCGTGTTGCTAAATACCTGGAGAAGCGAATGTCCACGTTCTTCTTCTTGTGGAGAAAGGTTATCCAAGGTTTTTTGTAGAGAAAGGTTATCCAAGGGTTCAGCATAAAACTATCCAATGTCCAGGACGATATCCAATTCTGCACTGACCCTGTTACTTATTGGAAGAAAAATCCGGGATGATGGCACTTCTCGAAGACTGGGCGACGACTGCCTATTTCGGCCTTTAGGTCGAGCGAGAACACATGGATTTCAATATCCATGTGTTCTCGCTCGACCTAAAGGTCAAAAGATTGTGGGAGTGCGTCGTTTTCATCGTCGTAAACGTGTAAGTTGAGATTTTCTCAGGTAGCTAAGGACAACAATTTGTGTACACATATGA